CCTAGCCAGAACTTCTAATACTATGTTGAATAGGAGCAGTGAGAGAGGGCATCCTTGTCTTGTGCCAGTTTTTAAAGGGAATGCTTCCAGTTTTTGCCCATTCGGTATAATATTGGCTGTGGATTTGTCATAAATAGCCCTTATTATTTTGAGTTATGATCCATCGACACCTAGTTTATTGAGGGTTTTTGGCAATAAAGTGCTGTTGAATTTTTTCAAAGGCCTTCTCTGCATCTATTGAGATAATCATGTGGTTTTTGTCTTTGGTTCTGTTTATGTGATGAATTACATTTATAGATTTGCACATGTTGAACCAGCCTTGCATCCCTGGGACGAAGCCTACTTGATCGTGATGGATAAGCTTTTTGATGTGCTGTTGCATTCAGTTTGCCAGTATTTTATTGAAGATTTTTGCATCAACGTTCATCATAGATATTGGCCTGAAATTTTCTTTTTTAATTGTGTCTCTGCCAGATTTTGTTATCAGAATGATGTTGGTCTCTTAAAATGAGTTACGGAGGATTCCCTCTTTTTGTATTGTTTGGAATAGTTTCAGAAGGAATGGTATCAGCTCCTCTTTGTTCCTTTGGTAGAATTTGGCTGTGAACCCACCTGGTTCTGGACTTTTTTTGGTTGGTAGGCTATTAATTACTACCACAACTTCAGATCTTGTTATTGGTGTATTCAGGAATTCAACTTCTTCCTGGTTTAGTCTTGGGAGGGTGTAAGTGTCCAGGAATTTACCAATTTCTTCTAGATTTACTGGTGTATTTTCATAGAGGTATTTGTAGTAATCTCTGATGGTGGTTTGTATTTCTGTGGGATCGGTGGTGATACCCCTTTATCATTTTTTATTGCATCCATTTGAATCTTTTCTCTTTTCTTTTTTATTAGTCTGGCTAGTAGTCTATCTATTCTGTTGATCTTTTCAAAAAACCAGCTCCCGGATTTATTGATTTTTTTGAAGTTTTTTTTTATTTTATTTAAATTTCTATCTCCTTCAGTTCTGCTTTGATCTTAGTTATTTTTTGCCGTCTGCTAGCTTTTGAATTTGTTTGATCTTGCTCCTCTAGTTTTTTAATCGTGACATTAGGGTGTCGATTTTATACCTTCCTTGCTTCTCTGGTGTGCATTTAGTGCTATAAATTTCCCTCTAGATGCTGCTTTAAATGTGTCCCAGAGATTCTAGTATGTTGTGTCTTCATGCTCTTTTCTAGTAAATTTTCTGAAATGTACATAAATTTAAATTGTGAAAAACTTCAAAATATAGGAATAACACGCAGCAATAAAATGTAGGAAAAGGAATCAATTCTTCCTTTTATGTGTTTAAAATTGTAAGCATTCTCCCTTGAAAATTCTAGAAAAGGTTTAAATGTGTTATAACATGCTGTTTACTAATAAGACCCCCTCTTCTAGGCTTTCTAAATCTTATACAATAGCAGCACCTACCTGTTACATCAGGGTGTTTTAAACAAAACAGCTTTTTTAGTTACAGAAGCTACTTTTTCACTAGATTCACTAAAATCAGGAAACAATTATGTATTTAATCATAAAAGGAAGGCAGAATCTTTAACAGAAGGGAAATCATGACACGATTACTTATGTAGAAACAGTTGTAAGGTGCAACACATTCTCATTCTGGAGTTGTAACTATATTGAAAATAAAGCACTGCAGAGCCATTTTGCCCATTTCCCTGTAGATCTTTTAAATGGATCGAGCTTTCCACTGCAACTTTGTTTTTCTCATGACACTTCTGCGCAGGGCACTTTCCAATCCCTTCAAGAATTTCATGGACATTTATAAATGCAGAAAGCTATTCACGGCCCTCAAAGGGCAACAACTGCCCCACTCTCTCCTAGAGCAGAGAAAAAGCTTTTATCCTAAGAATGTGAAAAGCGAGGCCAAGGCAGTTTCACACGTCCGGGGGCAATGAAAGAGGGGCAAGGGGCAGGCGGGGACGGGGGTTAATCTTAGTGATTAAAATGCTAATGTTTTATTTGAAAAGGAAAACCTTTGATTTTTAAGAAAATAAATCTAAGAGGAAGACATTTAATTCCTTTAAGATACTCAAGGCCTGGTGGATAATAAGTCCAATGCCACAACATCCAACCAGGAAAACGACACTCCAGGTTTGCTTCTAGGAGGGACGCTGCCTGCTTCTTCAGTAGTAATGGAAACACATTACAGAAAAGGCATGGGCCATTTGCAGAGATTTTGGGCCAGTCAGCAGGTTGCAAGAGTTGGCTTTTTGTGGGGAACATTAGATTTATTCCAAATTAATTTGTGCTTGTATCAAAATAACACATGGTTTTAAACAGTCAGAGTATTAAGAAGATTATAATAAAAGACGTTTCCCACTGTCTACCTGCCAATGACATTATCCAACGCATTCTTTCCTATATTCATTTATTCATTAGAAAATACACAGGACAAATTCAGTTATTACACTTTGACTTTACTGAGCCTGATTATGGGCCAGGCACTGCTCTCAGAGCAGGTGGATAATGGAAAGCCCTGCCCTCAAGGACTTGGCATCGCACTGTGAGAAGCAGCCGTGAACACACACTCGCAGTACCAAGCAGTAGGTACAGCGGGCAAGGGGTGGGCGTGGGCACAGGGGGACTGTGACTTTACATGGGCCCTCAAGGAAGGCCTCACTGGCACCGAGACCCCCAAGGACAAGCATTCTGAACCAGAGGATCAGAAAGCATGAGGGCTGGAGGTGGAGCGTGCCCAGCCTGCTGAGGAAGCGCAGCAGCCACAGCGGCGTGCGCAGCGGTCTGGCTCTGTGGCAGCTCTTTCAGATGGTTTCTGTATTCTTTTCCTCGTGTCTATATAGTATGCTTGTATGCTACTTCTTGATTAGCTGTCTCAGACACGAGGCCCCAGCTTCCTGCTGTGGTAGAGCAGGGTTTTGCTCTCTGGCTTCTTTCTTCCTGTGGCCTCATGGTCTCTACATAGACATGTTAGAAAAGAAGGGAGCCCTGCCTTCCACATCCCAGGGCACCTGCTGTCTGAGTGTGAGTGCAGGACAGCATTCAGATGCCCATGGCAGCGAAAACGCCTCTGTGTGCGTCCCTTCTTGGGACATCCTAGATAATGGGTCCCACCAAAATGAGGGAGAGGCAAGAAGTCAGTGAATGCCGAGGAAGGCTCAGGGACTGCAGCTGAGAGGGAGGGCTCCACAGAGGTGCTCTTCAGAAGAAAACAAATTAGTAAGTTACCTGGCGTGTTTGAAGGCGTGGGAGTTATCTCATAGATACATACAGTACCAAGCCAGTGAGCGTGGCCGTAAAGACCAAATGATGGTGTGCAAAGCAGAGTCTTAGATGGCATTGCTGTCGCAGACACACGCCTGATGCCAGTGGCACCCTGGCCAGGCCCATGGCCCCACCGTGTGGATGACAGTAACTCCCAGCAGGATCCACTGGATGTGGTTACTGACGTCCTAACTTACAGAAGCTACCCAGTTTATGCCCGGTCCCCACCCCATGCCACCCCGTAACCCCCATCACAGAAGCTCATTGCTGGCAGGTATTACCTTTATATCTCTGCGCTAGCACTGGACCTGACACCCTGGAGATGCCGATTGTTTGTTGAAGGAACATGCAAGTGAAAAAATGTTTTTGATGGTGACTGCTCTGCACCGTGAAGGAGTTGATGGGTTCTTCAACTTGGATGACAGCAGGGCTTTTACCAGTATCTGACCACATGAGGGGGCAGCATCTACTTCTCTCAGTTGTGAAAATTAAATGAGACGGGCATGGGAAACTCCACGCCTTGCATGTCTTAAGTGCTTAATAAATATCAGTTTTCCCTTTTGACCTACTTTCTTCCCAATGAAAACAGTTGCTAAATCCTGCCACTGTCATCGTGTCCCCTGGGCTTCCACTTTAGTTCAGCATCTTGTGCAGGGGCTGCCCTTGGCACTAGTGGCACGTAAGAGAATTTTCAGTGGCACACAGACATTTTTATCTTATATCACTAGCGTATCAAACCTATGGCCACATTCATTTTGTTGCTTAGGATGAGGTGCAGTTATTGAGGTGAAAGCCTGAGTCAATTTAAAAATACATCTACCAAGTTAATAATATCCAGAGAAGAGCAAGGTTGGGAAGGAGGCCCTGAATGACTCACGTTCAGAAAGATTCCACTTCACATCTGGATTGCATCTTTCAGAAACTTCCACACTAGCACTAATGGCCGGGGTCTTCCTGGAGGTCACTGTGTGTGGATTTATCCCCAGGGCACAGTGGAACCACAGGAGTTGGCCAATACTTCTAGGAAATTAAAATGGAGCTATCCGGAAGGCCAGTGCCCACACCTGTGGATCCAGCCAGATGACAGCCATGCTCACCAGGCTGAACAACTGACCTGACAATCGTATGTTAGAATTCAGGCACACGTCTTAGTCTAATAGGATTAAGACATTTTACTGTTCATACAGTATCAATTGTCTTAAGCTATCTAAAAGTATCTTTCTTCTGAAGTCTTAGGGGTTCAAAGACAGGATGGAGGTTTTGACTGTCTTCTCAGACTATATGTATCTTGCCTTTGAACCAATTGTATGTCTTCAGGCCTCCAAAAGAAATTTTTTTTTTAGATGGAGTCTCGCTCTGTTGCCCAGGCTGGAGTGCAATGGCGTGATCTCGGATCACTGCAACCTCCACCTCCATGGTTCAAGCGATTCTCCTGCCTTAGCCTCCCGAGTAGCTGGGATTATAGGCACCTGCCATCACACCCAGCTAATTTTTGTATTTTTGTAGAGACGGGGTTTCACCATGTTGGCCAGGCTGGTCTTGAACTTCTGACCTCAAGTGACCCACCCACCTCAGGCTCCCACAGTGCTGGAATTACAGGTGTGAGCCACCACGTCCGGCCAGGAAATTTAGAGACAGGCAGAATGTCTCGGCTGGGGGTGGCATGCAGCAGCCTCCCGTGACAGTGTTCCCAGCATGTGCTGCTGTCTCAGTGACCATGCAAGTTCTCCCAAACTGACCTTTGTATGTATTATTTCCTTCCTTCATTGCAGAAAGAAAAACACTTGGTGACATTTTCCACTCTTTATCTTCTTCCTGTTCAAAGCAGAATATTTTCGTTAATCACAGGCAGGACCAGGCAGTAAAAGGCGCAGATGCTGTGACAACCATGACTAGGGTTCACGCTGTGCAGGCCCAGTCCTGGTCCCCCCAGCTGTTCCCCTCTGGCCCATCTGAGCAGGGAGTGCTATGTCCACTGAGCACGTGTGGATGGTCCAGGCTCACGGAAGCGTCCCCTGCTGTTAATGACTTTCCCTTCTCAGTGGCCTCCCCTGGGGTAACTTGTACCCCAACGTTGGTCCTGTCTTCTTTTTTGAGTAAAAAACTTTTTTTTGGAGACAGGGCTCAAGCGATCCTCCTGCCTCAGCCTCCCCAGTAGCTGGGACTACAGGCGTGCACCACCACACCTGGCTAATTTTTTAAATTTTTTGCAGGGGCGGGGTTTTGCCATCTTGCCCAGGCTGGTCTCGAACCCCTAAGCTCAAGCAGTCTGCTCACCTCAGCCTCCCACAGTGGTGGGATTATGGGCCTGAGCCACTGTACCCAGGCTGGTCTTCCTGGTTCTGGAGGCTGAGTTCCCAGCCTGAGTCCATCTGCCTCCCTCCTCCACATTCCTGTAACCAGCCCTTGGAGCCACTTCCTGTCCTTTGCTGAGCTGTGCTGCCTGCCAATTCTAGCACCAGGGCTGTTCCTTCCTCTTGCTACCTGCCCTATCCTTGAGCCTGGAAGCCATCCATAGTCGCAGCCTTGCTCTGGGCCCTGCTTCCTTCCTGGAACCAGGGTCTAGCTACCTACCTACCCCACAGCAGAGAGAGCCTGGCCACCATCCTTGGCTCCTGCTGCTGACTCTGTGCACCAAGATGAGAGATTGTGGTGCTACCCACTGCCAGCCTGGGCTGTAGCTCTGCCCTGAGCCCTGGCACAGCATCCTCTCTGCTCCTCTGCCACCAGGATTCACCTGTGCCCAAGAGTGAGGGCCAAGCCCTGCAAACCCTCATGTGATGTTTCTGCGATAATGTTGACACAGCCTCGGGTTTCTGATGACTACCACCATGGCTATTGCCACCCTTAGAGAGGGCGAGAGGAATGATGCTGGTCTCTGTTCTGTCCTTGGGTTTCTGAAGCAGGCTCAGAACTCTCTACGCAGTGGGAGGACGGGCAGCAGTTGGGTGACGCAGGCGTGCCTCCCCTGGGTTGCTTCCCAAGCATGCCCTGACTCTGGCACCCGATGGGTCCTTCTGTTTCTGGGCTCCAGGGTTGGGCTGCGGGCTGCGGTGGCCTAAGCATGGTGCCCCCACAGCTCCTTGTGTTTCTGTGGTATCCAGGCATCAAATCCAGAGGTATTTCTCCTCTCTCTCTCCCCCCACTGCCAAGCCATCACCAAACTCCACCTGTTCTGCTGCACAGGCTTTCCTGGGGTCTCCTTGCTTCTGCCTCCAGTCCCACTGCCCCGGCCCCTTGCTCCCAGGGTGGCCAATGCAAGGTCACTGTCCTCTCTCCTGCTGGACGAGGCTTGCAGCAGAAATGGCCTCAGGACTACCTTCCTTGGAAACCCCACAAAAGCATCTGTCTTGGAGCTCCTTGGAGGTGCCATCCCCCACAGGACACAGTCTAAGCCCCTCAGCAGACCACACACAACCCTGCCAGGTGTGGTCCCCCAGGAGTGCCCCCACCCATCTCTGCGGCCTTTGCCCTTGCCACCTCCTGCCTCCGCCAACCCCACAGAGATGCCGACAAAGCCACCTTCCCTGCGCCCGCCATGCTCTTTCCCCTGCTGTCCCGTCCGCCTGGAAGGCTACCCTTCTTCTACACTGTCTGATGAATTCAGACTCTGACCAGACCTCCTGTCCTCCTGGAGGCCTCTCTGATGGCCTTCCTGCCTTTGTTGCAGGATTGTCACTGCCTAAGAATTGCCCCCTTTCCCACCAGACACAGCAGGGAGGAATCACCTGTCAGCCCTGGGGCCTGGCCACGTGGCCTGTGTGTGACATTTGCTGGATGAAACAAGAATAGAAAAAGTATAGGCTCAATCCACGGATGAATAGGTAAACATAATGTGGTATTTCTATACAGTGAAATGTTGAACTCACCCTCGGAAACGAGTGAACATGGACGCGGGCTACGGAGCAGAGGAACCATGGAGCCCTACGCTGAGAGCATGAAGCCAGACCCGAAAGGCCTCACAGTGTATGATCCCATTTGTATGAAAACAGACAGACTCATAGAGGCAGAAGGTAGATTAGCGGTGGCCACGGCTAGGTGTGGGGCAGAGACGGGAACGGGAGAGGGACTGTTTAACGGGTACAGGGTCTCCTTGGGGTTGATGAAAACATCTCCACTGACCTGCTACTTCACTGCATCCCTCGTGATTTTTGCCAGATCTGAGAATCCCTGAACAACCATTGTTTCTTTAAATAGACTCACTTTCGAACTTACGTTCTTTAAAGAGGCACTCTATTGCTAAGGCGAAACCATAGTGGATACATTGGTTTCCTCATACACATGAGAATAAACACAACCATGGGAATAAAGGTGTGGAGTCCTCGGATTCTCCCCAGCGCGTGTCCCATGTGGCTGGGAAAGCCAGGGCTTCCTCCAATCCGCCCCAGCCCAGGGCTGGCAGCGGCTCTCCCTCCCAAGACAGTGCTGGGTTACTGCCTTAGCAAAGGCACACTGGCTGCCTCTGTTGCTTTCTGAGGCAACTGCAGCTCTGATTAAGTCACCTGCTGGTTCAAGTGTCCCCAGGGGCTTTCCACGGTCCCCTGAGACCACAGTTTACCAGGTTGCCAAAAGGCCACACCTCCTGCCCCTCCTGACTCTCCTCTGTGAATCTGCGGTGTCTTTTTTCAGCTGCACATTTCAGCTTTGCATGTTTCAGCTGCACATTTTGCTTTGAGTCCTCTGCGTCTTTCAGCTTTGTATTTGTTCAGGTGGTTTAGTCCTTAAGCAGGTACTTGCCAGGCACCAGGAAGCACGGGAGACGCGTGAAATGGGATCACAAGAGCTATGGGGAGGCCTGGGGTGCTGGGGAGGGGACTCTCACTTCACGGGGAGGTGTGGGGAATGGCAGGCTTGCCTGGAACCCAGCCCATAAGCCATGCAGGAGGAGCTGCGGCCAGCGGGGAACCAGGGAGAGAACCTGGACCCAGATCAGGGAGATCAAAGCCCACGACAAAACTCACTCACCTTCCAGGGCTCACACTAAATCAAAGCTCTCTGGTAAGAAAGTCCCACCTAGGACACAGGCTTGGGTTGGCTATGCCCCATTCCTGGCTCCCAAGAGACCTGGGCGTTAGAAAAAAGCCAGCAAGAGCAGCAAGAAAAAGACCAGTAGTGGATAAAGCAAGGCCTGCCTGGAGGAGAGGGGAAATTCATGAACAAAAGGGAAATTTAAAATCACTCTAATTAGTACATTTTTCCTTGGCGATTATTTATCATCTGTCTGCCTCTCTCCTCTCTCTCTCTCTCTCTCCCCCCC